ATTGGTTCCTGAAAACTGAGTCTTCAGTAGAAATATTGTAACTCGGAACCGGTTTTCCCATAGGAAACAATGTTATAAATGGGGGATCGGTTCCTGAACCAAGGCTGGATACCCTATTCTCGCCAAAAATAACCCAGAATTTTGTACTCAGTCAATTATAGATGAGGAACATAGCTACACTAATGTATTTATATTGTAAATAACAATCATATTAATTTGGAAGGACTTGAGGTGACTTTGCTGGACTTTTTGAAGGGCTCTTAGCTGGACTTTTTGAAGGGCTCTTGACTGGAGTCTTCTCAGGAGTCTTGTCTGCTTTCTTAAAGAAAGTGTCCAAGGCAGTTTGGACAAACGTTCTCCAGGGAGATGGGCGACGCAGCAAACTTGTTTCCTCGTGTGGCGTTGCGTCGGCTCAAGCGTTGTAAAGTCGAAACTGATGTCAGAAAGTTGAAACGGGGTGTCAATTTATAAACAGTGTAAGTGTGAAAGGTTGTAACTCGAAACATTGTAAGTCGAGGACTGCCTGTCACTGGCATTTAAAGCATAAGACCCGTCCTGACAGGGGTACACAGGCAGCTGGAAGGGGGTCCACAAGAAGAAAAAGTTGGGGAACCTCTGTTCTGCACCTTGCAGGTATTGGTTAATTGTGCAATTCACTGGAACCAGGTCCAGGCTCACCGAAGGTATCAGGCCATAAAAGGTCCACCCAGCTATGAAGTTGAATCTAGTTGCTATCCAGCTTTAATTTGCACATGCAACAGGGTCTGGGCTGGGAGCTCCCTCAGCTGTCAAGGCTCCTAGGCACAGGGGTGCACCATGCCCAGCCAGGCTGGGAGTCCTGCAGCTGAGGGGACTCAACCCCAGCAGTGCACTGCAGCTGCCAGGATCTGGTAGCTGCAGATGCTGGGTCCCCGTAGTGCACCTTCTGGCAGCTTTGGGGCATGGCTGCAATGTAAGGCTGAGGGAGGCTCCCAGCCACAAGAGATTGCTTCTCCCCCGGACAGAAGGAGCCCGACCCTAGGATCAGTCTCTCCCTGCACCAGCAATAGTGCGTGATGGGCTCTAATATGCGATCCCACAATCACATCTCTCATTATACATGTGTGGCATGCCAGGAGGTGTGATTGTGTAGATGGCGCGTTAGATCCCATTGCACCTTTACCTGCATATGAAGAGAAGCCCTGCTCACACCAAGGAGTGCTTCCCCACAACAACAGTCCTACAGTAAGGAGAGGCAATGAGGTCTGTAGGCAGAGCCCTAGACTAGGGCCGTGGAGACTGGTGCTGCTTACAGATGTTTAAAAAAATGGTGCCTTACTTCAAGCTTGGTGCACTCCCATGCTGAGCCTAGCACGTGCCCTGAAGAGGCACTGCATTAGTTGGAGCCAGCTCACCCAAAATCTGTACAGATCAGGTGCTTTCGTGGGGCTTTTTTGGCACAGCTGGATCAAACTAACGTGCTGCTTCTTTCAGTAAAGTGCTTTTTTAAAGGTTTTTTTAAATGTCTGTAAGCAGCCTGAGGTTTGATCCCAGTGCTGCCTCTGGCCTACTGGGGGATCCTGGACCAATCCCTTCCCTGCTCTTCTTTTTCTCCCTATGTAAAACAGCAGTAATGATACCAACTTTGAAGGTAAGTCATTTTGCCAGAGTATTTCACTTGCTGTTAGGTTCTTCTCAAAAAGTTTTGATTTTTTTCCCTAAAGAAATGGGCTCATAACAGGAGCCCAGGGCCCAAACTCTCCCCACAACAACCCCAATATTTGTACTAGATCCAGTCCATATCTAAATGTCATGGCACTGGGGAAAGTGGGGGGGTGGTTAATTGTAAATAGGTCAGTTGGGACAATAGAGAAGTCACTGTTGTAACTTCCATACAGTATACTGATGCATTGTAATTCAGTACCTGTGCTGCTCATTCTGCTGTCTGCCCCTATTTTTCTACCTTTCACTCACATAGGCAGCAGAGTTTGTAACATCAACAATTCTACTTTTTTTAATTTTAAAAAATAGTGAAGCCCCACTCTGAAGGGGCCAGTAGCAGTGAGACTGCTTGGATGTGTCAAGCTAAGCATGTATGCAAATCTTTGCAACACAGAGGCGTGAAGATTAGTTATCTGCAAGATTTTAAATCTGAGCAGGCATATATAAAAACAAGTTAAGCTGATTACTTGTTGCAAAGCATTGTACCTTATCATATTTCCACCTACTACCTTAAAGATGTGGGTTTTTTGCATCATCTCCTCTTTAATAGACATGCAGCCAGGCCCATTAAGAGAACAAGGGTTACTTCCTGAAAAGTGTTGAAGTGTGTCAGTAGTTAAGGAAACACTGAAATGTTCCAATTGCCCCAGGCAGGCAAAATCTGGAATCATTTCCTTGTACAGTAAATAGACAGAAAGTGCTTTCTGGTGCAAGGAATGTGTTGTCTTGGAGCCGAGCACCCTAGGTTTTGACTTGCACAATTCAAGCATGGATAAAGTTGATAAAGCTACTCCAATATTTCATATGTATTCTCAAAAACAGAGATGAGGAATTCGGCAAAGCAGTGGTGCATATCAGCAATTTCCTCAATGTTGTCCATGCAGGAATAGACAAGTTGCCACAGAGGGCTGCATAAGTGATAATATTGATTAAACAGATCATACAAAAGTCTATTTTTTGGATTTCACAAGTACTTTAAGAAACAGGTTTAACTTCACATAGAAGAAATGCAGAAGTCTGGAACTCTTGGTTCCAAAATGATACCTTTTATTAAACCAAGAAATTCTCAGTTGGTCTAATAAAAGGTATTATTTTGGAACCAAGAGTTCTAGATGTTTGCATTTCTTTTTGTCTCAGACCAGCACGGCTACCACATACATCCCTTAACTTCATATAGGCAGACAAGGCTACAACCTACACCCCTGTTAACTTCACATAAGCACTCTTTCAAATGGCCATTTCTGGTACAACCCTTGCATCTCTTGCACACTTGGGAAAGAAGTAAAATGTGCAAGGACACTAAAGAAACCCTGGCTCAGCAGAAATACCCTGCAATCTTTTGCATCCACTTCATGCTCGCAAGACCTTAGTTCATTATTGTATTATGCTAGCACTTAAAGGCCTTGATCAGAGTCTATAGTGCCAAGCACTATACAAACCTATGGAATGAGACTTGCTGGCCCTAAAAGATTGAAGGTTTAAAAGTGTTTATGGTATATAAAAGTAATTATTTCCTCTGCACAAAGAGGAATATATGCAGACACCCCTTGAAATGTGGTATGAAAGTCATGCATGGTCTTCCTTGTATTTTTCCTTGTTTTTTTATGGAAAGTCTCAAGAAAGGCTTTAAATATGTGGATCATTAACTTTCTTTACCCTTTCTGAAATGAATATGCCAATTCTTTAAATGGGGGGATATTTTTGTGTGTTAGATTTTTTAAAAATGTTTTAACAGTCAAATAACACTCCCCTCAGTTTGGTATCATTTGCTCTTGGTATCTCTGTTGTAATCCTGCCAAGGCTTCAGTTACCATCACTAAAGCCTTCTGGGGAGATTAGGGCAGAACAGACCTGAATGTTTAAACAAACAGAAAAACCATGTTGAAAAAAACCCTCACGTCTTCTTGCTGTATCAGAGAATCTGTGAAAAAGCACACAAGCCAATTCTATTTCTTTTGCATATTATATTTGCTCTGAAAAAGCCCCGTACTTCAGGTGTTGAAGGTGTTTCTTTCCTTGTCATAGAAAAGCAAAGAAAAAGATTGAACTTATGATGCCAAGGAGCATTCCAGACCAGAAGTTTATACCACCAAGTGACCCTTCCCACATGGGTAATGTTGGAATTGCCCAGCATATGTAAATGTGAAGTCTATGACAGCAGCAGCACTAGATGCTAGGGAAAAATGGGGCGAGAAACCTGGAGTATATCATTATGTAATAACCCGCCAAAGCAGGTCAGCTGGCATTTATTCCCAGCCAGTGGCTAACAAAGGAGGCAATAATAGATGGCTGGTAGAATGGGGAGGAAAGATAGCTAGGGAAAAGGAGCGCCAGCAGAGATGACAACATGGAATAAGAAAAGGAAAAGAATTGGAGGGCTAAATAAATGGAGGGAGAAGAAGGGCAAGAGAGAAAGAAGCAGAGAAAAGAGAGAGAACAGGAGGGGGAAAGCTGAAGAGCGGATAGCAAAGGAGAAAAATACAAGTAGCTAAATTCTGCTCTGTTTAATTTTATGTCATCCAGAGGTTAATACAGACAGAAAAAAATGTCCTTTCTGAGGAGACCTGATAGGAAGTGAAGCTGAGAATTTATCATGCACGCTGGGGGATATAAAGCTGAGTGTTAGGCAGGGAAGGGAAGAGCTACAGAAAAGGAGAATGGACATAGAGAATAAAGAAGACAGAGCAGTATATTTGGCAGAGAAACTGTAGTTACCCTATCTACCTACTTGTTTCATGAAACTTGTGTTTTGTTTTAAGATAAAGACAGCAGTTTTTTTGGAACTGGAAACACTTTTCTCTCTTTGCCTGGCACCATGAGGCATAATCTTTACCTGAAGTGACCGAGTGCTACTATATACCAAATAATAAACGTTAAACAACAAGCAAGCCGCAGAGGAGGAAGCAACTATTGTAAACATTCTGATAACATTACAACAGCTAAGGCTCCAGGAAAATTATTTCTGTCTTTTATCGGCAACACTTTCATTAAAGATCCTTTAATAGTGGGTGAAGATAAAGTAAATATGATGAAAGTAAATATGACGGGGATCATTTCACACCCATATGCTAGGTATCTTTGGGCAAAGATGCATTACATGTTGAATGAAGAACGTCTAGCATGCTTCTAGAGCCCATCACAGCCACTGAAAGGAAACACACAAGAACACGCTTTCCATTTCCCAGTTAATTACAGAGATCATCTTAGATTACTAACAAAAATAAATGTCTAATAAAATCCACCTAGACAATATTACTTCTGAATAGGCAGAAAATAGGTAAACACTAGCTCTAATCTACCAAAAACAAATATAGATATGTACATGACACCGAGCATGATGCTACACAGAGCTGATCTGTTTTCTCTGGGGTGCGTTTTGGATTCCATTTTGTTTTAAGAGATTAAAGTAGAAGAATGTGAAATCTTGACACAATGTCCTGACTATTAGTCTGTAATGGCCTTTGAGGTGTGCATGTGCTTCTTATCAATCTTGCCCTCATTGACAAGGTTTTGGCCATGTGCAGACAGCAAGATAAACCATCCCCTTGGATCTAGGCCTTGCACTTAATAGAATCAGGTCCCTGGGAGAAGTTCTTAAGTTTCCATGTTCCATCCAACCGTACCATAGCTAAAGTACCCATCACTTAATAGTGTTCATGGCTCTCATGTAAGTTTTACCCAAAGGAAGCGCAGGCCTGGAGATTCTCACACATCTGCATGGTGGAAAAAACCGTTATATTTTAGATCAGGAAGGAATTTTGCTACCATCTGTGTGTGGACTGCCAGGGATTTAGGGAGCCTTACACAGTATGGTCCAGTGACTGGAGTTCAAGGCTTGGTGTTAAGACCAGGTATAGCTGAATAGGCTGTGTCAAACCAAAATTAATAGCTTGGACTTTGCTCTGGCAGCTCATTTCTGAACTGGTTTTAATTTCTGCTTGTGAAATCATCATTCACAGAATAACACAGATTAATCCCTCACAGGCAGAATATGCATTTGAAACTGTGGCAGCTGAAGGCACTGGATTAGTATGCAGGAATGCTGGGTTCGCCTCCAGGCTGTGTTCCAGAATTCTTATGTGACCTTGGACAAGGGATTTAGACCAGATCTGTAAAAGGTATGTCTCTAAATTATAGCTCAGTGCCTGAAAAATGGGGCTTATAAACCTCCCAATATTTGTCCATTTTGTCTATTGGAGTCTAGGCTTTCTAAGGGCCAGGACTCTGTCAGCATCTGTACAGCCTAATGGGCTCCTCATCTCTGGGTGTTTACAAAAGTATAAACATATAATAATGTTCACTCTTTGTAGTGCACAATAGGCCCCATGTTATAGTTTCCACTCTGGTCAGATGGCAAATCTTTTAACCAGATTTAGATTGTAATGGATTGATACAACTGTAAAGTTGTAAATAAATTTACAATAAAGTTGTAAATATGGTACATGCATAAATTATTCTGCTGATGGATTTTTTTAAAGCTAAATGCAATGCCAAATAGACCCCTGAGGAATATTGATAATGCTTATTCTCTGAGGGATATTGAAAAAAAAGATAAATGAAAGATAACAAGATAAAGATAAATGAAAATTAGGCTCAGACATTAAGAAGTGATTACTGATGCACTGCCCATCTTCACTAGGTGGTGGTGGGTTTTTGGGAGGAGGGAGGTTATTGTTTTTCTGGCTTTTAATAACTGAAACATCCAACATCTGTGTCCACTTTTGAAAAGTTTGCCTGGAGTGAGTTACTGCATAAATCTCTTATTTCTATACACTGCATCTCCCGCACGCTACCCCCAATGCTATCTCTTTACCGCATCCATGCAGGGGGTTGAACTAGATGACACTTGAGGTCTTTTCCAACTCTATGCTTCTGTCCTTTGTAGGTTCCCTGCAATGACAGTTTTACCTTTAAAAATATTTTTTATATTAACCAGTTGTGGGAAAGTTAGACTCAGCTATCTTCGAAATTTGAACCTAATTAGTTGATAAGCATTCAAAGCTCATGGCGGTAAAGGGGTTGAGGATGCTTAACAATTCTTTGGGCTTCTAATGTTGAAATGGAAAACAACAACAGTGCCAGAATAAATTTGCAACTGTAATTTCATACTTGTTCTTACTCATTTAAGCAAAGAAGATCACACTCAGTGCTGTGCTCATTTCACAAAGTTCTTCCTCATTTGCACAGTCAAAACCTTGCCTCATTACAGAACTCCACTGTAAAAGGGCTCCTCTAAGCCACGTATATAAAACCAGCACTCATATTATGGCCAGATTGTGGCTTGAAACTGCTGTCTGTGTTCTGTAAGACTACATGCTGCCCAGTCTTTCAAAAAGCCCAAGACGGGGTCTCCCTCAGGACAGCGCAGTGATGCGGGGGTGCTCCATACCCCACCCCTTCAGTTGACCATACCACAGGAGAAGCAGCCAGGGAATTATTTTTAAATCTGGAATCAAGTAAGAATTCCCTCCTCCCCTCCACTCTCCCACCCCCTGCTGCTGCTGTCTCCAGCTCCCACTGGGGAGTTCCAGATCAGCTCCTGCCCACTCTAACTGCGCTGCATGCAGAACCAGTCTCAGCTAGGGACAGCAGCAGCAGCAGCAGTGGGTGAGCGAGTGGGTTCTTCTACCCTGCCTGGTCCCCCCAGGACAGTTCCCTGCTGGCCTGGGAGCAGGTACAGAGGAAAGGAAGCCACCCAATGCCGCGGCTGTCTAGCCAAGCCTGGCTTCATGTGCAGTCCAGCTGCAGCTGTGCGGGAGTGGCTGTGGAGCGCCGCCAGCTCTGCCCCCCAAGTCAGCCGGGTACAGTGGCAATGACAGTAGCAGCACTGGGCAGGGAAGGGGCATGGGGAGAAGGGAAGGGAATATGCAGCCGAGCAGGGAGAGAAGGGAGCTGGAGGGAAGATTCTTACCTGCCTGAAGGACTTAGAAAGTCCCTGCTGCTGCTCCTGTGGTCTGGTCTGCCCAGAAAGAGGGTAAATGCTGGGAACCAGGCTGCAGCCACCCCTGACGTGCAGGTTGCCGCTCCTGCAGCCCACTTGCAAACTTTCTGCATCTGTCCATGGTCGACCCTCTTCCACGGTTCTGTCTGTTATCTTTCTTCCTTAGGATGGTTCAAACCAGGAAAGCTTCTAAATCTACTTAAAAAAAATAATATTTCTCATGCAATTCAAAAAATGGGCAAAAAGATTTTATCCACATTGAAAAACCTAAACCTGAGATATTTAGGCTGAAAAACAGATTAATTGAGAAAGTTTGAAGTATTTGAGAACACAGGGTGATTGCAGAAGTCACAGCTTAACCTGCCTGTGCAGTACATTCACAATGAAGGGAATAGTATTAGTATTAGTAAGTGCTTTGCATCTCCACACTACACACTGCCTTGCCAGTTTATTAGTGTGCAAATGTTTTTCTGTTTGCATTATGAATAAGTCAACTGTTACTGGAGCTAACAGAGTCTGACCTTCAGTAAAACATGTCTGTCTTCATAGAGATGAGCTGGATTCTGCTCACTCACCCCATTTTATTGGAATTAATCTAGCATAAGACCAGTGCCAGGGCAAAATACAGCCATAACTCTACAACTTGTGACAGCTCAATTATGTCTTATTTATTTGCTCTCCACTCCTTGCAAAAACACTCTCAGCATTCAATCAAATCTCAAAGCAAGGGGTCAGAAGGGAAGGGGATTGTAAACTACCTTAGTCAAAGAGTCCATTCCCATTAAAGCCTGTTGATTCTCTCAGAAACAAGAGACTGTTTTCTGTAACAATGGACCCCTACAAACATAAACCAGTTATAAATCACCTGAAAATTAGTAACTATCAAACTTTCATTCTGCAAAAATGAATTTCTCTGCCACCCTGTAGATTCAGTAGTAAATGTAGTTCATGTACTTTAACTTTTGCCTTTATGAAAAAAGCAATGTAATCCATTTAATCTATTTGAAGACCTTTGTTTTCTCTCCAGCCTAAATTCCTGAAATATCTGATTGAGGGCAAGAAAAACTTAAAAATGTTGGTTAAAGGAATTTTTAGCAAGAGAAAATTAGTTACAGATTTAAGAAAAAAATCTTTCTGAGCTCAAAACATGCTGATTTTCAATAATCAGTGGTGAACAAGGAGATTTCAAATGGTATTTTGAGGCAATGATTTCGTTAGGGGTTTTTTTGAGTACACGAAGACCCTGGGAAAGGTTTTCTTCATATCAAAATAAACAAAAACACACTTTGAAAAAGCCATTAATTGATGTGCTAATTGTTAAGATAGGGTTGTTAAGATAAATACAAAAGCTTGCCTTTGAGAAGGACCTTTCCCTTCAAACAGTTAATTTCCATCTGCTCTCAGGCAGAGCTGAAAGTATCATAATCCCCAGTTTGCGATACCACTATCTGTTACAGTGAGGCTGATTAGGAGGCCACAACAAAGGATTAGGGTGCTTTGTATGAAGAAACTTAAAGTGGGCTCTCTATCCGTAAGATTAATTTATTTGCGCAAACACTGATTTTGCTTTATGCCTGTTAAAGCTGGGCTCGCCCACAACACTGCACACAATTCCTAGAACAACTTTTAATGGTCACCAAGTAATGTACTGTCTGCGTGCCTAGAGTGAGTGTGTGTGCATGAGTGAGCCTGTTATAATCTCCACTGCTTCTATGGGGCTGTCCTGAGTGAGGGTTGCTTTAAGCAGGCCCCACCTGTCATGCAGAATCAAACACCCCTTTCAAGGGGAACAAGAAAGTAGTTCCTTGGGATTCTCCAAAAAGCAACTTTATTCCGTCTTCCTCTCCTGAAAGGACCCCCTGTAGATGGTCCTAACATGGCTTCAAAAGGAGCCCCTGGCTTTGAAAACCTGGATCTTCTCATTCCCTGGCTTTCCTGGTGATCTGTGGTGCCCCCACCTCCAAGAGGTCCTTCTCTTTGTAATTAGGATAAGCTTTCTAGTGCAAGACACTCTTCCTCAGGTCACAAGTCTCTTAGACACAGATCCTCAAAAGTGACCTGAGGAAGAACATCTTGCATTCAAAAGCTTGTCTAACTTTAAGCCAACTACACAGCTGGTCCAATAAAAGATATCACCATAAAATATCCTTGCCTCTTGCAAGGTTTATATAGTAATTATAAGATTACCACAAAAGATATTGCACCTAAGACATAGACCTGTTAAAATTTATGCTGGACTATGCCACCTAAGCCAATGTGCAGGTCCTTGATACCAGCAGGTGTGCTAAAGGATAAAGGTACTCTGTGTCCCCACTTTCAGACGCAACTAATTCCTGGGCAGTGGGAGCAAACATTGGGTGGCATTTGCCAAATATGACTTATGAGATCCAAGTCTAGTTCCATGTTTCTATGTATATGTGAACAAGTCTTAGACATAGATCCTCAAAGGTTAACTCCCAGGCTTAACACCCACAGAAACCAATGGTATTTAGGCACTTACATAGGAATTAGATGCCTAAATGGAGGATTTGGACCTCAGTCTTTCCATCCCTTTGCAGCTGGAAAATGTCACCCCTTACCACTTGTGATGGCCTTCCCCCTTTCAGCAGGTCAATGATGCAACAAAATTAAGTCAAAAAAGAGACACTGGATGTCTGGGGAAAGATTTTTTCCCCCTATGAAACTGTACAAATAAACCTCACAAAAAGTTGACTCAGTTTCTTCATTTAAAATACTCCTCTGCATGACAGAAAAAGAGTCAACATTGGGGCAGTCATGATTATAAGTCATTTTTTACTGACTAAGAGAGGAAACTATCAAAGAAACCTAGCAGTGCATGTCTTGGAACATAGTTAGAGTTGGCCTATGCTGCCTTTACTTACTCACTCTTCTTTCAGGCAATGAGTCCAACATGTTTCTCTGGAATACTTTCCCTGTGTGCACAAGAACTATTTATAATCTACAAACACTTATTTTTGGACTAAACACATCTATCTAGCTGGCTACTTGCCACAACTGCAAAGGTTTTGAATGAATTACAAAAATATGTATGAAATATTGCACTTGGGATAAGGCATTTCCAAGCACAGCAGCACATAACAAGCAAGCAGAAATGTCAAATCTGACCTAAGCAGGCACCACAATGAACCCAGTGGAACTGGTTGTATGGTTTCCGTACCTGCGAGTCCCCTGCATCTCCTGGTGAGGTTCTCCTCTCTTCAGAGACTCTTTCAGAGCATGAGCTAGTACAAAGAAGCAGCAGCAGCTTAGGCCAGGGAGTGCAACCCCTGGCCCAAAGGCCAGATCAAGCCCTTGGAGCCACAATTTGGCCCACAGGGCTCTCCACGGATCTGTGAGGAGCCCTGCTGGTCATGGCCCTGCGCACTAGATCAGGTGCGTGGGGCCTGATCCCTGCTAGGCAGAGGCAGCGCAGGGCCCTGGAGCCTAATCCTGGCTGGGCAGAGGTAGTTGGGGGGCCTGATCCCGGGTAGGTAAACACAGCATAGTGGCCCCAGAGCTCAATCCCAGCCAGGCAGGGACAGTGCAGAGTCCCTGAAAGACAAACCCAGCTGGATCAAGGCAGTGTGGGCATCTGCATCTCCTTTGCCCAGTCAGGATAGGGTCCCAGGGCCCTGTACTGCCTCTGCCTGGCTCCCACATGCCCAGAGTGCCACACTGTCCTAATGGGCTGGGATTAGGCTCCAGTCAGGTAGAGACAGCATGGGGTCCCAGGGCCCCATCCCAGTGCACAGGGGTGGCACGGGGCCCAGTCTGGCGCACAGACCAGCCCCACCCCACCCCATTCATCTGGTCCACAGGCCCAAAAGTGTGAACAAACACCACTAGCTCAAGCTATTCCTTTAGAACCTGTCCTGAAAACTCAGGCTGCCTGTCCAAGTTTGAGCAATCCCCACTTCTGCCCACTCCTAACTCAGTAAGAGAAGCACATTAGAAATGCCACTATCTGCTGTCTTTTATATTTAGGCTAAACTATTTGGGCTGGCAATCTTCTCTTAAATTTTTGTCTGAACAGTGCTTAGTGCTAGGTGAAACCAGTACATGAATAAAACTAAAACCCTGAAAGCTGAATTGGAAGAGACTACATCCTCTAATATACTTTACCAACTTAGGGCACTGACAGACATGGGGGGAG